CTATCTATCTATCTATCTATCTATCTATCTATCTATCTATCTATCTATCTTTCCCCCCACCCTGTACCACAGTATGAATTTTAAAAATATAGTTTTTTTTGTGTGTTTTATGATATACTTCCCCTTTTCTGGTACAAAAGCCTTGTATAAATGATTAACTCTGCTTGTCAGAGAAACTTACCCACCCAAACATAGTGCGTTGCCTTCTGCTTAGGGAGACTGAGGAATGCCCTTTCTAGAAATGAAGCGGTTCACTGACCACAAGCCAGGGCTAAACGTTTTTCTCTCCACTAACATTGCTTCTCTGTTTTATCCATAAACAGCTAATAGTGTAAGTGGAACAGAGCCAACAACTTTTTTCCCTTTCAGAATTCCATGCTGCATCATAGCCTTCAAATCAGATAAAACCACTCCACAAGGTCAACTATGGTCATAAAAAGTTCAAACACGTTTCTTCATATGTCTTTTATCCATAAAGTGTGTATGTGTGTGTGTGTGTGTGTGTGTGTGTGTGTGTGTGCGTGCACATGCATGTGTGTGTTAGCTTCATATCGCTCCAACAACTATCAGAAGCAATCATCTTACAAGGAGATAAAGTTTATTTCTATCTCAGTATCAGAGATTTCAGTTCATGGCCAGTTGGGTCAATTGTAGTTGGACTTGTACATGTCATGGTGTGTGAGTACATGACATAACAGTGTCACTTATCTCGCGCCCAGAATGCAAAGGAAAGAGAAGGCAGAATGGTCTAGTTAGCTGCTGTCTAACTAGCCCCTTCAAGAGTACACTCACTTGACATGAAAAGCCCCCACCAGGCCTAAAGGCTACACCACCCCTCAGTAACCATTGTCCCGGAAACTAAGCCCTGTGCTCTGCAGGGCTGGGGAGGTCCAGAGAGTAAGAGTGATCAGTGTAACAGTGCATGAGGATCTGAGTTTGATTCCCAGCACCAGGGTAAAAAGCTAGGCTTGGTCACTCAAGGCTGTGACCTCAGTGCTGTGGGGGACAATGACAACCAGGCTAGCTCCAAGTTCACTGTGAGATCCTGTCTCACATCATAAGGCAGAGACATCTGATATCCATCTCTGGCTTTCACATGCATGGCCACGTACACACACACACACACACACACACACACACCACAGGCCTCAGGGGACCAACTTTAGCAGTATAATACTATTGGGTACTTCATTTTCATGGGTCAAGCATAAGGTCACAAAAATGATTGGAGAATTATGATGATGGTGATACTGCTGATATTAAAGAGGGAAATCACAAAGACAGAAGATTTATGATATTCATGTGTTTATTGAAGCCCAAGTTATCTTGTTTCCATAATTATTATTATAAATATTATTTGCCTTATACTCAAATAGCATCATCAGATAATATCTCTATAAATAAATCCATATTAATTAACTGGCATAAATAAAATGCATACTTAAAATAAATAAACTTACATATATAAAGTATTAGTTATGGGAATTAAGTTATATAGATTTTTTTCTAAAGGAATGAGAACTAATCTCTTGTGAAAATAAATGATTTTTTAAATACATTATTTTTCTATTGTATATTCAGTTACAATAAAATATTATCAATGGCTCTTTGTGGTTGGAAAGTCTACCTCTCATTTATGGACAACATGACATTGGTTTTCTTTTTCAGCTGAGCCAGGTTTCATGTGAATTCTTCTAATTATGAGCTTATCTTCCCACTTTCCTTTATTAAAACAGTACTTTAAGGAATCTTGTTCTTTATAGCAGGCAGGAAGGTCGTTTCTTCATTCTCTAGTCTCTCTCAGTTAGACACAGGCGTTTCTCAGGGACATAAACAGCAGATCCACTTCCCCGATCGCTTTGATCTCTCCGCCCTCTCCGAGCTGTGAAAACAAGAGCACAAACTGACTTGAGCACTTGTCCTTTTCTAAGGAGGAGTTAGTTAGAAGGAGATGGCACTGTTAGCTTGCTGAGCACCAAAACCAAGGGTCAGCCTTCTCTAAAAGATTAATAATCAACAATAGCGCACTTTTAGCATGAGTGAAATACGATTTGCCAAAGACCTTGAAATCATGCCTTCCTGACCTGAGGACACCATAGGCATCCATACTACTTACATTTAACTCTAATTATGAAGCTGTTGATGGGACTGTTGGTCTGCTTTCTTGAACCTTGAACAATGCATGCATAGATAAATCACCACACTGGGTCCCGAAAATTCCACAATTATTTGTCAATTAAAGATAAATTTTAGTGGGGCCCAGAAAAACAGCTTGCTCAACTCCTAACCATAAGCAGCAGGAAGCCAAACTGAGACCTGAAGATGTTACATGCCATCCCTGAAGGACTTGGCGTGCCACATAGCGCTACACCTGTCCGTGACCAACTATTGATGAGAGCTCAACTCAAACAGCCTTGACTCAAAGACACACATAGCTGAACCCGTGCGGTTCAGCTTTGCCTGTGCTCACCTTATCAACAAACAAACAAAAGACCCACAAAATATATGGCCACCTTCCCTTGTCAAGGGGTTCTGACAGTTTCCTCTGCCTATCAGATTTCTCTAAATAACTTCCCCTTTTGTGATTTTTTTAGAGTCACAGGAGCAAGCCTGATCAATCTCCCACTTTGCAGCATGGTATAAATGTCAAAACTGATGGAAAGTGGCTTTAAAAAAAAGGTTTTCATACAGAGATCACATCTCCTGTGAGATCTTTCTCACACACATTTCACCTTTCCAAAGACAAAGTAAGGGAACAATAGCTTTTTAAGCAAGCATTTGAAAGGTGTACCTTTGGCTTTCTAACATCCAAGCCTATGGGTTGAGGTAATAAGCCCTCTGATAAGGGAACTAGCATAGCACTGAAAAGCTACAATGCCATTAACACTCAAAAGAAAAAAAAAAAAAAACGGTCACGTTTATCAGCGTATGTGCAGGAAGAAGAAAATATTTAAGTTAGACAGAAGGAGAGAAGGCTAGATATATTCCTCAACTGGAGCCTTTGTGTTTCTGAGCTTCTGATTAAACCCACTTGCAAAGAGCCTTGCTTTCTCTGCTGTCAGCAATACATCTGGCATTGGGCAAGTCACACTGGCTGACCTGAGCCTCCTGCTACTGTTATTTGCTGTAAAGTTACAACCTAGCTCACGATAGATAGGACCTCACTAGCAGCTGCGTGAGGGTGTGAGGGAGAAAACTTTAGAATGAAGGTAAAAAATACAGAAAATATTTCCAACTCACACTCCTATTACAATGAAATAAATCCATGACTGAAATTTGTACCCCATTGAGACTGTGTAAAATAAACTGGGAGGGTATTTAATATTAAACTCTTGCGTTTAATATTAAATTGGTAGCTATTAGGTACTATATTATAATTGCGGATATAGGTATTGATATCAATGGTTCTAAATATTTATTTTATATACAAATCCAGCTCTTTTGTTGTTCTGGGTCTATTTTGCCACATTTTAGGGTATCACCTTAATGATCTCAAAAGTCACATCAAGTAAATTTGTGCCCAGCTTTCTAGTTTTCAATGTGTGCTTCTTCGGATTATATGAGTCAATGGAAACTGACTTTCCCAAAGAATTAATCATGCTGAATTAATTACATGTGGCTGTTGGGTAAGTGCGGAGCTGGGCTACCTTCCAGTGCTACCTTCCAGTATTGGCTATGCCGTCAGCCATCCTCAGAGCACAGGCTGGTGAGACCAGCTGAGCTAAGATTTCTGCTAGCTCTAGAATTTACCGCCTAGACATTTAGAAACATATTGAAGGGTCTATAGACCCAGCTAGACGCTAAGCAAGAAATGGATCAGACAGTAGATGAATCAAGTAAAATGTTACAAAAGAGGGGAAGGGAAGGAAAAAAAGCAAAGCAAGAAAACCATGTTTCTCTTATTGAATGGCTTGGTATTGTCACTTATCAACTGTACCGTTTTTACTGTTTCCTTCAGCGTCTGTACATTCTTCTGGATGTGCTGGTCATTACCACTGATGTGCTGCAAAAGAAAAGCAAGACTCACTAACAGAATCCTGTCCCATTAGAGCCCAGTACCTCAGTGCCTCTGAGGCGCGTGGCCATTCACCTGGAATAGAAGCATTTAGTCATTTTGCCCACAGCGACCTAGATTTCACTGGTGACCTAGATTCTCTGAGTTCTTTCATTCTCTGGGACACTGAAATCCAGGAACTTCCCCTACAAAAGGGCTGTCCCTGTCTTTGGGGGATCCTATTGAGGTTTTCACAGATGGCAAGAATGGAAGAAATGAAACCTAAATTGAACCTCATCAAAGGTGAGAGCGTAGCACAAGAAATGAGCATAAGGCTTTTCATGTGAGACATGGCCTCTCCCCCAGTAAATGCAAGTCTCCCTCAATCTGCCGACTCTTCATGGATATGTTTGAGGGGTCAGAGGCATCAAACTCATACAGTGATTCTCAACTTCCCATCATATAGGAAAACAGTGAGCTTTGCACACCCTCTCATTATGAGGCCTTCCCATCTTTCTCTCTCCCTTCAACTTTTGCTCTGGGCCAGTTCCTCCCCACAAGCACTTGTACTCAATGGCTCTGTTTCTACCTCTAGGCTTCTTTTTTTTTCTCTCTCTCTCTTACAGTTCCCAACATCTTTCTCATTATATAAAACTTGAGTTGCTTTCTTTGCACAGACGAAACTAACGAGGTTCCACCCCTATAGACTCAAAGTGTCACTCAGTTAAAGCCAAAGTGATTGCTTTGTGGTTGATTTCAAGTGGCCTCTGATGGTGGTACTGCTAAGACCCTCCTCATGATTGTGAAGGACAGAGGGGAGGGCTACAGGTTCTAACTGGAATAGGAGAGGAGGAAAGAAGAGGAACAGGGGTGTATGGAACTAAGAGAAAGGCTTACACAGGGCCTGAGGTCGTTGTTTAGCTTCTCCAGGAAGGAGACCACCTCCTTCATGTAGGGCTGGAAGCGGTCTGACTGTGGGAGCAAAACTTCTCCAACGGTAAAGTTGAGCACCTGCTTCATCAGGTAGCATCGGTCCTCAGTCTGTAGGTTATCAAGAAACAGCAGAGGTCATATTGCAGAACCTCCCAGAGGCTCCATCAACCAGTGCAGCTAGCCATGAGCAGATACACTCCCTGCTCGTCACCATGAGAACTTACGCTGACTCCTTGGAACAGTTCATCTCCAATGAGCCGGACGTCTGTGTTGTTATCTGCAAGGTTAGCCTGAAAGAGAGAAAACTCTAAGTGCCTGGATGATGAGGAGGTACGAGAAAAACCTGTAAGTAGAGATGGATGCCCCCACAGGACTAATGACCAGCCATTGAGTGTATGAGTTTAGAACAGTGTACAGAGAGGGGGAGAGTCAATAATAGACGGCTTTCTAAAGAGCCCCTCTTTGGATAAAATTCGGTGTATGCATCCTAAAGGATCAAACAGGAAAAGGTTCTGACTAAGACCAGGTCCTTAAAGAGTCTCTAAAAGAGACATAGAAAGTCTATACCTATGGAGATGAAGCACTTACAAGTGCTTCAAAGAAAATGACAAGGGTTACTTGAGTCCCAAGAGGATATGAAGAGAAAAGGACAAGCATTGTACCTCCTTGGCCATCATGAAGGTGCGATTGGTAATGTATGGCTCGAACTTGGACGCATCAAGCTTGCAGTGGGAAGTGATGGGCAGTGCATCTGCCTCCTGGGCCCACAGGGCCATGAGAAGCAGCCAGCTGGTGGCCAAAGTCCCCATAAGGGAAAAGCCCATAGACTTCTGCAGAACGGCCATCACAGAGAGCGCAAATGTGAGCAGTTGCTAACTGGGGGAGGAGAACCTGTGAGCAAGACAGCAAGAGTGAAACAAGTTAGCCGAGAAGCATCACACCAGACAGACCCATTCACTGTCCCATTCTGTGCACTTACCTGGTTGGGAGGTTCTGCTTGTGATGTGACAGGCTGAAGTTGCTGCTTTTATAGTCATCGGGACACCAGATATTTTGTATTGCGAACAATATGACATCAGACATTATCTAATTTCCAGTACTGTCTTCTGAGAACTGCCTAACCACCTAGGAGGCCACAAAAAACGCCACCTCCGAGCCTTCCCACCTTGAAATGTGAAGCCTTCCCTAAAGCGTCACTATTAGAGCCCATGAGGTGCTTTCGCAGACAAATCCCAGAAATCTAAACTCTACATGTTTTTCGAAGAAAACGATCACTTTGTCGTAGGAGATTCTCATTGAGTAAAATAGCCTTTGATCTCTTGTAGTAACTGAGTCAGCATTTTGGTCTCGGACTCATTTTCCTACCAACTTCATAGATTCTTATCTCTTTAGAACTGACCAGAAATAAAAGACCCATGTCCTATATTCTGTGCTTTCAAATAAGCAATAATGAAAACTTGAAGATTATTTCAATGTTTAAAATAATTGCATCTCAGTTTTTAAGTCTATGGAACCTAAACCACAACTAGTTTTTAAAAATAAGAATGTTGGCTAACATAGTCACCTTTCTCACAGGTTCCATTCCCACACAATGTTCTCATTCAGAGACTATTTTTAAGTGAGCAAATAATTATGGTAGGTGCAAATAGAAAGATTCTACTCATAAAACCGTAACCAAGATCAATTTAAGTTTGGAAATATTGACAGTGAACTATCCAACATAGTTTTTTAGCATAATTTAAACATAGATTTTTGATTAAAAAATGCTAAATGTGCACTAATTCACTTTGAAATATTATTTGTGTGAACACAAATCTCAAGATATTATCTATAAATAATCTTACAATAACTTCCATTATACAGATGAATATCTGAAGAAGAGAATACAGAAAACACGGGGATTGCAGGTTGACTTGAAGTCAGTGTGAGTACATTTAATTCCAAATAACATCTCACAACTAGACTAGAAAGTTATTTCCCAAGGAGTGGGAGCAGAGGAGAAGAAAGGCTATCTATGGGCAAATGTCTAACATCTCTGGAAGGGGGAAGGAATGTCAAGTAATAAAAATTACTTTGATGAGATTTTTCTCCTTACAGCTAATTGAGATCAAAAGTGTTAAAGAACTGAAGAAAGGGATTAAATAACTGTAGAATCTTGATCTATTGAGAGGTTCAAACTTGAAGAGCCAAAACAGCGCAAGGACTCAAGCATGTTGGTGTAGCCTTATGAGAAAGACACAGTGCGCGAGTGTGTCTGTTAACGCTGGCGTTAGCTCAGCCTAGCCATTCTGCATTGTAACCTACAAAATCAATACCATGTTATAAATATATGCTGTTTTTGCTATGCTTGCTTTTAATTTTAAGAAAGAATTTTATAAATTAGAAAAAAATCTTAAACAATTGATAGATATTCTAAGGGGTTGTTTATGAGCCTCGGACCAAAAAAAAAAAAGGAAACTTCCATATCTAATTGTCTAGTGTATGAAATACAGTAGTCTTTGTCCGGACTCCTGTGTGACAATATGAGCATTCAACTCAAGTTAATTCTGTAGATTGGACAGGCTTTTTTTGGTTGGTGGCCTGGGAAACATACGTTTATGGCTACGTAAATTTATTTCCATTGGAAAACAAATTTTGACACCACTGGAGTATTTTGGAGGAGAGCCGGCCTCTTTGGTCTTTGTAACTCCAACAACAGCAATGTTACACCCTTAGGAGGAGACTGGTGAAAGCCATACTAAATGAATATGTAGATTCATGGGTTTCAATAATTTACCATGGTTGGGAAAATAGAGGTCTCTCTTCTAAAACTGGAATTTGATCTGATCCTATTGACTAGCTTCATTCTTGTCTTTGGATAGGGAATGCATAACTGTAAGGAAAAAATAAAATGGCAGAAATTGGCAAAGTAATTTAATAGCAACATATCTCCCTGGTGTCATATTCTGTAACGGTCAAACCATTAATATGAATGTTAGCATACTGGGATTTCATGAGTTTGTCTAAGATTCACTAAAACATAATGTAATCTGTGGCAGTGTGTGGATCTCTGAAAGAGTTGTAGAAATATTCTCAGGAGCGGTTGCTGTTAGGATAGAATGAAGATGTAGGGTGGCAGTGCTCCTGTAAAAACAAACAAACAAAAACAACAACAACAACAAACAGCAAGAGGCATATGTACTGATCACAGCAGGCTTTCTCTTCGGTGGTATTTTCGTGGATTTTCAAGTCATCCCAAAGAGTGTCATATCAGCATCATGTTCCCGGACCCCAGACAGACCACTCATGGATGATCTTAGATCTATGCAGCATCACCTGGTCTAATAATGCTGGGAGGAGCTGACCGGGGTCCCCCACCCGGAAGGTCAGCTGCTGCTGCTTCAGTCTCTGCACCATTCCGAGCACCTGCACTAGTGCTCGCCATGCGGCATACGATGGGTAGAGTTCTACTGACCTAACGGATAAATCTACTTCCTTTTCCTTGACCGGTGCTTTCAAATCTACACCTGGGAATGCAATCTTTAAAAGACAACCCTCTCTAGAAGAAGGAAGACTTTTGTCTTCTCGGGCAAAAGGTTTATATTCATCGGACTTCTCATCCCAATGTACACAGTCACTATTCAATACAAGTTCCTGCACATGTGTAACACGAATTTCCATGTGTGTATCCTTCCAGGACAAACAGTGTGATTTAATGTGTACAATTAATTAGTTTGTTTTCTTGGAACGGCTCTCTTTCTCACATTTTTCCCACTTAGTATTATGGTCTTGCAATCTATCCATGCTGCTATGTGTAGCCCCTACTTCAAGCTTAGCATTCCAGACTATATATCCACTATATTTTACTTATTCCTTTCCCTATGATAAGCACCCAAACAGCCTCCAACTGCTCACACATCAGACATTGCAACACTCAGCAACCTCACCCAAGCCATTCTCAATGTATTTTTAAAGGAAATTGTTTTAAGGGCGGAGATATTCTCAGTAATTAAGAGCACTTCCAGAGGATATAGACTCAGTTCCCAGTACAACATCATGACTCACAACCACAGTCCCAGGAGATGTACTGCCTCTTTTGGTCTCCATGGGTTCTGTACCCACATGGAGCACAGATGTACCTGCAGGCAAAACACCAATAGAGATAAATAATAGGGGCTGAAGAGATGGCTCAGAAGTTAAAACACTGGCTGTTCTTCCAAAGGTCCTGAGTTCAATTCCCAGCAACCATGTCTTGACTCATAACCATCTACAATGAGATCAGGCGCCCTCTTCTGGCCTGCAGGCACAAATGCAGAATACTGTATAGAAAGAAATAATAAAAATTTTAATTATTTTTGAAATATTTACCCAGGAGTAGATCCACTGAATTATGAAGCTAAATTTATTTTCTTTTACTAAATACCCCAGCTTTGCTCTCTGGAAAGGCAGTATTAATCTGCACACTCATAAAAGTGAAATCTGTGTTTGTGATACAGGAAAAATCAGGGTCCCCTCCTGAGATTCTTAGTTTCGTTGGCAAAAGAACTTAAGAATGGACTCAATAGAAAGTTTGACGACATTTAAAAAAGAAAAAAAAACAGAGGAGGAAGGCTACAGATCTCAGTGGCTGCTGGAGAAGAACAATGGAGAAAATAGGGAAAATCGACATACTATTTCTCCCTGACTTAGAGGTTAGCAGCCATATGCTCAGGGGAGACTTTAGATCAGTGGTTCTCAGCTGGTGGTCTTGACCCCCAAAGACCACTGGAAAGCACAGATATTTACATTATGATCCATAGCAGTAGCAAAATTACAGCTATGTAGTAGCATGATTGGGGGCCACCACAGCATGAGGAACTGTATTAAAGGATCACAGCGTTAGGAAGGTTGAGAATCTAAGTTCAAGTCTTGGATCCTAGCAGCATTTTCCTTAACAAGAAGAAAGTCACTAGTGAGGAACAGTTGCCCAAATAACACCTCATGAGACTTAGGCTTAATGTCTGGGGAGCGTAATCCTTTGGACTGTTAAAATATAGATACTAATCATTTTAACCTTTGGTTAGACTTCTCTGTTGGGTGTTTAAGACCATGAAAATGGACAAAATAAATCTTTTTTTTTTTTTTGTCAAAGTCAGTTGAGAGTTTGATCTTCAGATCATGAAGCATGGGCATGCAAAGACCCTCATCTCCTCTAGCCTTTCTCTTACTGATGGCTCCATCTGTGTCAAAGGCCCTGACTGACCACAGCCTCACTTGGAAGTCTTGAGAAGCTTTCCCCTCCTCTGTGTAGACTGGACACTTGGGAGAGTCCATCCACTGTGGTGTCCATGGCCTCTCTGGGCAGGAGAGGAGGTGACTTTCCATATTCACAGCATATCTCAAGAATTTCCCCACAATCCCTTGAGTCCTCACTGAACTTGGACAGCAAGAATCAAAAGTGTCCCTTTCAATAACTCTGCCCACATTAGTATAGGTCCCTAAATATTGTTGAAGACTTAAAAGGTCAGTTATACCAGTCAAGACTATTAACCACTCTATAGTATTTAGATAAAAGTTTGGCAAAATTCAAACTTTTAAGTAAGCATTTATTGGACACACACCTTTGTTCTTTAAGCCTGTTGTATTACCAAGAGCAGAATTGTAGCTCTATTGATGTAAGCGGGGATTTGATTGTTTTTTTATCTTAGAAATTTTAATATCATCTATAACATCTCTCTAAGTCTCGTCTCTTACACATCTTAAATAATTTACTCAGACATTTATGACCTGTATAAGTTTTCCAGATTTCTCCCCCATTCTAGGAACATCCAACCTTGTCTTAATCTTTGTGCACAAGCCATTATTTTTACCATTGGTTGTGACGATG